TTATTTAAAATAATAATTTTATATATATAATAAAATTATCTAATAAAGGTCATAAAATAAAAAAGAATCTCACTTTATTGTAACCATGTAAAATACATATTTAGTGAAAAGTAACAATACTATCACATAAAAGAGAAATGTTACTTAAAAATCTTTTTCGCAAAACATTATGAAGAAAAATCATCAATAATTGCTTCATAATCAACTTTTTCTTAATAACCCATGCTCAATACTTAAAATTGCTAACCCATTAAGCCTTTCTTGAGATATAAGCGATCATAGATAAATCATCAAAATCTTCAACTTTGAAAAACATTACTTTAAACATTTATTGCGGAATTTTCAAGGTTCAATTTCTTAACAAAAACAAATTTTTCCATTGACCCCTTCTAACTTAAGCCTGCCTTTTTCTTATCTTCTCCTATTTCTCTCTTTATCCCAACCTGATTCAACCATTTTATCAAGAATAGTTTATTGGTCATTATTGGATTGTTTGAAGCCTTGAAAGAAGAAGTTTTTTTGTCATCGATCGCCGATTGGCCCCTTAGATTGATTGACTTCTTAACAAACCTCTGAGGCATTCACCGCTTTGCAGCGTTCTTTAATCTTGTTAATTTTGGAATTTGAAAACAACAAATCAATTTGGATGGACTTTGCCGATTGGGAGTTTTGGAATCGTGTGGCTTAATATAACTTGATAATATTGTAATTAAGAGGATTATAAAGTATAGAGATGTGAAGACAATTAAGACAGGCGTGCCTCTTTACATTTATTTTAAAAATTAAACTTTGACAATTAAGACAATTAAGACATGCCATTACAAACTCACAGTCCTCTCCTTTGACGTGCACTGAGCAAGAACGCCATTCATCCGGTCGACTAGTGTGTTATCCATCTTCTTATTACGCCATACATGCTTCGCCAAGCTGCAATCACATAGCGTATAGATTGAAGTCTAAGAGTATTAATTAAGACATGATGATTGATGAGCTTAAATTACAGGTACACGTCGTTGAAGCAAGCGGTCTTTAGTCCGTAAACAACCATACAAAAGCTTGCCAGAAAGAGACAAAAATTGAGAAAATACAAACTTCCAAAACACCGAATAATAATCCGTAGAAATCTAGCAAAGAGAAGTTTAAAATCCATTCATTTTCGGTTAGACGACGTACTTCAACTCCACTGATTAAAGAGAGTAAATAAAGACAGTAACATTAATTATTTTGATAATAAAAAGGATGAGTGGATCAACCATTCAAGTGTTGTTTCATCACTGAAATGTCATGTCAAGCCTCACCATTCTAATTCGGGACTATAGCAAAAACATCTAATAATGGTGCACGTAAATTTATTTATTTTTGTGTGATGCATGATGTTCTGGATTACATGATAATGACACAATTATGATATGGGACATAGACTCAAATAGGACTAAAAAAACGTCGGGAACGTAAATAGGAGTTCATAGTTTTTTAAACCTAAATAGGACTACTTTTAGACGTACAGACAAAAATACCCTTGAGATGCAGCTGTCCGCATATGATGTTGCCGAACACATTCATTCATGCCTGACCGTCAATGATATTCAGAATTTCAGATCTTTGAGTACCCGTTATATCATTCTCGGCGGGCACAGGTCACCGCCACTACATCCACTGCTGCTCTGCCGCTGGTGGTCACCGATGCAAGTTACTTCCGCTCTACCGCCGCTGCTTTACCGCTGCTCTGCCACTGGTGGTCATCGAGTGGTGCCGACAAGATTCCTCTTCTTCTTCCTTTTCCTTTTTCATTCTTTGCCCGGTGCAAGTCTCCCCTGTTTCTAAATTTTATCGGATTTCTTCTATACCCTGTAATACCTCTTTGAACGTTTTTGTTATTGTTTGACTTTTCAATTCCTCATGCTTTGGCTTTCAGATTCTTCATACGTTTTTGTTATTGTTTTTGCTTTTTTTTTTTTTTAATTTTGCAAATATATATTTAAGTTAGTTTCTGGAAATTATTTAATTTATTTATTTTGGAGAAAGAATTATTAATAATAAGATAATAAATATAGTGACATTGTTGGCAATTCAATACATTATTAATGACATTATCTTTATTTTGTTAGATTTTATTGCATTATTTTGGATAGTCAAATTGAATTACATTGTCCAACTTTATTAAAGGGGGAAAACAATGTCTTATTAAAATGTCATGTTAAAATAAAGTCAAATTTATTGAAATTTGATGTCACAATTTAATCATTTATGGTTATAAAATTTTCATTATAGGTGACAAACCTCTGCAGGATCAACTTTTCACCTAACGATGTTACAATTTATAAAAATGTCAATGTCACTAAAATGTCATACTGTCACAATGTCAAATTTTGAAGATGTCAATGATATAAAAATGTCATTATGATAATTACAGTGTCAATGACAATGTTGTGACCATGTCAATGCTATAAAAATAACATTGTAATAATCACAATGTCAATGACTATCCTGAAAATGTCAATGCTCACTCCTAATAAAATTGACATTGTTAAAGAGAACATCGGTGCTATCGGAAGTGAAAGTGTACATACAAGAAAAAATTGTTTTTTAGGGAAGACAAAAAAAGTGTCAATATTGACTTAATTTATTAACATTTTTATTACTAAAAACATGACATTGTGATATTTGGACATTGTGATATTGTGACATTGCAATATTGTAACATTGTATATTACATTGTGACATTGAGATATTAATATTGTGACATTATCAAGAAGTGACATTATTTTGCTGATCAAATCGAGATATTGTAAGTTTGTAACATCATCATGCCATTGTAAAAAGATGAAAATATCAAAAAACTATCAAAATGTCAAAAAATTGTCACAATGTCAAATAATGATAATGTCAATGCCATTATTTATTGTATCATGACATTGACAATGGAATCGAATTCCACAATTGTATCAGTCACTTTCACATTGTGAATTCTGTTGTCAAATATTTTCATTAATGAAAACAAATGTTACACTTTATTAAAATCATTTATCAACAATAATGTATTAATATCAATATCATTGTAAAAATGAATGATAATGTATATTTAAATGTGACATTTGAATAAAACAATAATGCGAGCTTCTATCTCCGATGACATTGACACATCAAAGCCATCAAAGCTAACATGGCTAAATGGTTAAAATGAATTAATGAAATAATAATAAAAAATTAATGTATATTAAAAATAAATGAAACAAAATTACAACTTGGTAAAGTAAAATAGAAAAAGAACAACAAGACAAAAAGGAAATACAACAGCAGCGAACAAACAAAAGATGGAAGAAAAAACAGAGCATTTACAGATGAGAAGAAGAAGCGAGAGAAAACTGCAGCAACAGGAGAAAAGAAGAAGACGAGAGAAGGATGAGGAGCAGGGGAAAAAGAAGAAGAAGGGGTCTGCAAAATCTTCGTCGGAGCTGCACTGTACGTGGCCCTTTCTGTCCATCGCGCGTCTCTTTTGCCGTCAGCTAAGACCTGCCGCAGTGCCTCCACGCCACCTCCCCGCCTCATCTGATTCAGCTTCTCAGATCCGCACTCCGCTCCCTGTTGTTCTGCCAAGGAGCCACTCCCACAGTTGAAAGAGAAGCATGGCTGGGTAACTGGGTTTGTCGACACGGAACTATGGAAGAGGAGGCAATTACTCCGTAATAAGTTGGGGGTAAATCTGGAAGGACGGAAAAATATAGTCCTATTTACGTATAAAAATCATTTAGCTCCTATTTAAGTATATTAGATAAGTTCTAGTCCTATTTAGGACCATTTCTCTTATGATATTTCATGTTATGCAGAAAGAGAATTTCAAACCTTTTCCCCTAGAATACGACTGATATATGTCCCATTTTCTCTATTTTATCCTTTCTTTTTTTGGCTGCACTTTCTCAATTCGTATAATATAGGTCCCGTTTGATTAGAATGATTTATGTCCCATTTTTCTATTTTATCCCTTCTTATAATCCTTAAAATTAAAATTTATTTTATTAATAAGAAAATCATAATTTTATTTGCAAATTAATATTAAAAATGGGAAAAATAGAATAAAATAAAATAAACATAAACAAAAAAACAAACAATTAAATAAAAAACTAAAATACCTAAAAGATCCGGATCGTTGGGAAAATATCATCATATATAAAAAACATGTCATGTTTCACCTCAAAAATATCATGAATATAACATTTTTGTTCTTTAAAAATATTCAATATTGTTTTCAAAACTGCTGGATGACATTTTTTTTGCAAGTGGGCCTTCTTTTGGGGCAACAGGTGGTGACCATGTTGGAAGGTGCCATATATACTCTTCATAAAATCAAATTGTTTGTGTATCTACAATTACCCAACTACCCATCGTATAAAATGACGTGTACAAAATTTGTCCACAAAACCCAGTTGAAAAATAAATGGGTTAGCACGTGTCTATATTCCTCGTATGTAACCAAGTAAAATCTGCCACAATGATAAGCTTTCCAAGTTTCAACTTGTCAGTGGGTAGATTAAGGACAGTATGGGCCACCCCTCTGTTTATGAAAGATACTGTACGTAGTAAGAAATTTATGGGAAAGTGGAAGTGAGAAAATGCTTTATAGCGCTGTTTTTTCTTATAGAAGAAAGAAGCTTTCTGGTTGAAATGATCAATTTTCCAGTTAGAGGTTCTGTCATTGTTCCCCTTGCTTCTATTTCTATTATATACGAGTATATATTTACTGTTAAAGTTCTCTTCTTTGTATTATTATGTTTCACGAGTTAATTGTTTTATAAATCACCATGCTCATATTTTGGGTTATGCTCCAAATTCCCCATAACTCCATAAGCCTGAATATCATGAAAACTGCCAATTCTTTTTGGTATATACATTTTCTTTTGAAGTGAATGGAATTACTATTTCTCATCTTTTTTATTATTTGAAGTTTTGAACCTATGTTTTTGTCCATGAGTTGCTTATTTTATGTAATTTCCATTCCACAGGATGTTTTCAGTTTCCCCCACTAGTACCATATTGCTGTTGTGTAGCCAGAGCAGTTACTGGATATGGAGTGTTTGGGAATAGAATTTCATTATTCTGAAATTTTAGCTTCAAGCAACAAGTTGTCTTTAGTTTGAAGTTAGCTTGGGTTGATAGAATATGGAGCCTGAGAAATGGAAATCTTAATTCCATTTTGAAAACTTCAAGCAATGGATATCTAACCCTTTCTGAGTTATTGAGACCTTAATCCGCAAATACAACTTGTTTGGCAGATCGTGGACTTGAATAAGCTGTTGGAAAGTTCTTCAGCTGTCAAATTTGTTGGGCAAATCTCCTTTGGCAATTTACCTCTGTTTAATAAGATCAGGTTGATCATAAACAGATTAATCAAATATAACCATATAATATAGTATCTTCGTCATTTAGCAGTTTATTTGTGTTGAGTTCAATCAATTGATTTTGCAACTCTAATACTTGATCAAAAGGCAAGGATCACAAAGTTACACTGCGGTATGTATCTTACTTTTCATCCTTTTGTCAAAGTTATTTTGATTTCTTTAAAAAATCAACACTTCAACAGAGATGACAGTGTTGATTTATGTTCTTCTAGGTTAGGGTCTGTTTGGATTCTGGAAAATGCTAGGGAATGAAAAAAAGGAGGAATATAGAGAGAAAATCTGAAGGAAAAATATGGGCGAAAATAGTAAATTGATTCCAACTTAATAAACTAATGTTAGATATTTGTTCATACTCATTTTTAAGCATTTCTATTAAAAAATGCTTAAAAAACTAGATGCTCCTTCATTTTTTATTAGTCGATCTACTAGTTTCAAGGTTTTGAAGAGCAAAATTGTAGGAGTAGTGAGTAGTACTATGGTAGAAGAAGTAAGAAAAACAAGAAAATAAAGATGGAAAAGTAAGGGTTTTATGTGATTTGATATGATCAAATTTGCCAAACAAGGAATTCGGATCAACTAGTAAAATGGAGGAAGTATATGCTAGAAATGACTAAAATTTTATCATATTTGGTTATCATTTGGTATCTTTCATACATAAAAGGGAAAGTTCCCGAAATAGGACTAAAACAGTTTGATAATTCCAAAATAGGACTGTCATGTTTTTTTATTCCCAAAATAGGAGTAATTACTGTCAAGTTTGGAAAATACTGTCATGTTTGAAGTCTGGTACTGCCAAAACATGATAGTAATTAGTCCTATTTTGGGAATAAAAACATGACAGTCCTATTTTGGAATTTTCAAACATTTTTAGTCCTATTTCGGGTAATATCTCTACATAAAAAGACTGCAGTCCTTAATATTTTTTATTCTTTTCAGTGCCGTTTTTTGAGTTTTATGGACAAATATGTTACATGCATTAAAAATTGCAGGATATAATCTTTTAGCTTTCAAAATATGGATTTGGACATAAGCGACATTGAACGTTTTAGTGAGAGCAGTGAGAATCAAGATTATGGTGGAAAAGCTTGTTCTATTCTATCTAGTCTTGAAGATACTCTTGGAAGAATAGACGATTTCTTATCCTTTGAAAGGGTGTTTATAGAAGGAGACTTTGTTTGCTCAGTAAAGGATGAACCATCCGGGCAGACCGGTAGAGTGGTCAATGTTGATATGGTAGTGGACGTGGAGGACATTTTCGGAACTGAAATATGAGGTGTCAACTCCAAGAAAATCCAAAGAATGCGTTCAATTATGGTTGGGGATTATGTAGTGTGTGGGCCGTGGCTTGGGAAAGTTGAAAACGTGATTGATCGGATAACCGTTCTGTATGATGACGGTTTTATGTCTGAATTCACCACAACGGGACATGAGATCATCACGCCCATTTCTCCAGACTTGCTTGAAGATCCACACTATCCGTTTTATCCCGGGCAAAGAGTGAAGATTCATATCCGACCCGTTTCTCCAAAATCAACCAAGTGGTTGTGTGATGTCAGAAATGATGAAAGATGTATGGGGACTGTTTGCTCTTTGGATGCCGGGGTTGTGTATGTTAGTTGGATTGGTTGTGTGACAAACGGCCATGAGAAGGCATCTAGTCCTCCACATTTGCAGGATTCAAAAAATCTGACCTTGCTGTCATGTTTTTCTGATGCCAAGTGGCAGGTTGGGGATTGGTGTTTGCTTCTAGATGCTGACAATGAGAATTCCCTGCATAGTTCTCTTTGGGTATGTTTAGAACTTTAGACTCCAGAGAGTGATTAAAAATGTAATTTTCTCAGGGCATTGAACATATATTATCGGTTTTCTACTTTCTATTTTTCTTTAAAAACTAGAAACAAGATTTGAAGACCCAAAAAGAGGTTTTCATTTTTTTGTTGGCAGTTTCAAAAGTAACATGCTTAGCATAAGTATGACTGCAGTTTAGTTCATTAAACCTCCTATATTACTACTTTAGAAAATGATAAAGAAAATGCAATTTTGAATGGTTTCTGTATCATTTTAAAGTTGATATATTTAAATTTGTTAGTCACAATATACTGCTATAGACATAAACAAATGCAAATATACAATAAGTGTATAGAAATTCTGAAACAAATTTTATTGAAATTTGGCACTTCAGTCCATTTTTCATTTTGCACCTAATCTTTGTTTATGTTTTGCTTTCTATTTTCATTCCCAGTATTTTTCCAAGTTCCAAATAGGCCCTTAATTCACCTCTTGTCGGATTTCAGAAGAGAAGCCAAAAGGTGAAGAAGCTTGTGGTAATTGTGAGAACAAAGGCAAAAGTTGATGTACAGTGGCAGGATGGGAACATAACATTTGGATTAGATGCAGATTCTCTGTTCCCTGTTAACGTTGTTGATTCCCATGACTTTTGGCCTGACCAGTTTGTGCTTCAAAAGGATATTTGTGATGACTCAGGAAGTCCAAGTCTCCATAGATGTGGAGTAGTAAAATGTTTGGATGCGAAGGAGCGAACTGTGACTGTAAAGTGGACAAATTTCCATTCAAATGAACTAAATAATTTTGACAAGGAGGAAACTGTGAGTGCTTATGAACTGATGGATCACCCAGACTACTCGTTCAGTTTGGGCAATGCTGTGTTTAGATACTGTTCGGGTAAATCTCAAACATCTCAAAAATGGCAGGAAAGTAGTAACAATCTCATGCACCTTAGTGGTGATGAAATGGACCAGAACAGCGATTACTCATCAAGTATTGGTATCATTGTTGGCTTCGAGGATGGAAACATCAAAGTGAATTGGGCTAATGGGGCTATGGGCATTGTATGTTTTGAATTAATTGCTAGTGGTGAATAGTTTTCTTGTATGTGCAATGTGCATATTTATCTTTTATTGCAGGTTGCTCCGTATGAGATATATTGCATAGATAAGTTTGAAGATGCATCTATGGGTATTGTACCTTATGGTGAAAATCTTGAGCAACAAAATGCTGGGGTGAATCTGCATGGTGGTAAACAACTTTCAATGCCAAAAGGAAAGGTAGATGTCACTCTCTATCAGTCATCATTTCTGAATCAGCTTGTTTTAGACTCAGACTTCTTATAAGTTATGACCTCTCCCTTTATTATATAATGAAGAACTGGTACTCTAAAGAATAGATTTTTTTACTTATTATCCCACAATTATTACGGCATTCCCACTTATGATCCCTGACTTTCATTTGTCTCTTTTGGTGCACGGCTATGGATTTCTTCCACTTTTGGTTCTCTGTGGTCACTTCATCAGCTAAAAGTGTTTGGAAACTGTACAGAAAATGGTTGATTGTAAGTTTGTAACTGATCAAAATGTCCAAAAGGGCTAAGAAATTCATAGTCACGCGTCATGCACCAAAAGTTACAAAAATAGAAAGTCGGGCACTGCCAGTGGAATGACCTAATAATTGAGGAACGGAAAGTGGAAATTTATTCTAAAAGAATATGAGCAGGATTAAGTATGGTGTACTTGGATCTATTATTTTAGGGCTAACTGAGTGACTGTGGTGTTCTATCATCTCTGTTTCAGTAAAGGTGCAATAGTAAAAGGATGATCACAGCTAATTAAAAGGTGATAGTTTTTGTACATAACATTGACTATACCTTCTATGGAAACCCTTACAAGAACTACTTGAAAAATGTTTTGTGACTAGAATTGGAAGCTTTTACAGCCTATAATAAAACCTATAACATTAGTTCTTTACTTCTTTAGCAAAGTACTCCAAACCTTTGAGGCAAAAAGCTATTTACCAAAAACAAGCTATTATCAGTCAAAATTGTTATCTTTTGGATCAAAACGTCTACCAAACAAGGCCTAAGTTTATACTACATATATCAGGATCCAGTAAATTTCGATGGCGATGGTGGAATCTGCAAAAAAAAAGCTTCCATTGGCCATGGGCTCTTGTTCTTTTTCTCATGCTGCTATTGCTCTTTTCAAGTATTAAGTTCAGTTCTGTTCGGTATATCTCTGTTTGGTGGATACCATCATATATCCCAAGAAGGGAGAAGACCAGAGATGCTCGGCAAGGAACCTGAAGGAGAAAGAAAAACCAGAGAAAGTGGTGGAGAAGAAAGATGATTATCAGCTGAAAAGAGACGTGGGGCCCTCAACTTGTAGCAAGCTGCCACCAGAAAGCTTTAGACAATTTGATATGGTTAATGGTTGCTCAGACCACCATTTTGTGAACAGCATAGGAAAGGATGTCACATCTTCCCTGGTTAGGATATTATGAACAAGTTAAACATTATAGAGTATTTGTTTTTTTGTACTATGGTGCGAAAACTTTAACTTTTGCTGCACGGCTATAACTTTGTTGCCACTTCAGTCCTTTCCCATCATTTACTGTGGTAAAACCAGCCAGAAAATACTAAAGAAAGCAAAGAAATATTGTTTTCTTGTGTTTGGGTTTACCTGAAATATGATTGATTTTTAAAAATGCTTAAATGAATTTAGGTTGCTGATTAAAAATAGAAGTGAAAAAATATTAAAAATAAATTTATTAAGTTTGGAACAATGTTATCTTCCATAGCATTTTCTTTTGTTCTGAATTTCTCTCATATATATTCCTTCATTTTTTTGCCTTGCATTTTCCACATTTCAAATGGTCCCTTGAGGACCAAAAGTGTTAAGACATACTCATATACCCCGTCTATTTTGTGCATTATCATAAGTGGGAACAGTGACCATTGGGAGGTGGTAGCAATGAGTGCTGGTTCTAAAGTGGGAATCAGGCAACAGTCATAGTACCAGAAGTTAAAAAGTTTTTTATGCTACTTTTACAGGTGAAAAAAGGATGGGTGAAAAGGGTTCAAGAAGAATGGAACATTTTGCAGCATGATTTGCCAGGTCAGGACTAACTTGTCTCTAATTATGAATCTAAAATTTCCTTTTAAAATTTTAACCAATTTTCGTCAATTAATCTAATATTGATAAGCAGGCGGGATCTATGTGCGTGTGTATGAGGAGAGAATGGATTTGCTTCGAGCAGCCATTGTTGGTGCTCCTGGAACCCCATATCATGATGGAATGTTTTTCTTTGATTTCTGCTTTCCTCCTGAGTATCCCAATGAGCCACCGGTAAGTGCATCATTACTTTCTGCTTTCACAAATAAGTCACGTTTGACCAAGGTGCAACATGGTGAGGTGCAAAAGAAAGTTGCTTTAATGGTAAAATTGTAACTTTTTTGTTCATTTAAGAATGCAATGGATTTGAGCTTCTTGACACATGCACATTTAGTGCATAAACGAAATGCACATCTTATGAAAGCACCTATAGAATTAGTCTATTCCAAACTAGCTCTAAGACTCTTTTTGGTACTAGAATGACTCTTTTTTTAAAAAATGCCAGGTTTACACGTTTTTGTGTACACGCCCCTTACATTTTGTCTGTGATGGGCAATTCGTTTCTATCATAGGCACTTCGTCTTAAAATGCAGAAATTGTCTGCAATTTTATATTAAATATTTGTGATACAGACAAAATGCGCGAAGTGTGTACACAAAATGTGTACAACACCAAGCATGGGTTGTTTTAATGAAGTAATAACATCATGATTCCGGGGGGGGTGGGGGGTGGGGGGGGGGCATTTAAGGTTTCATTTTGTTTGTTGTTTTCAGTTAGGTTTAAAATGGGTTTAAACTTTAAAGAGGGCATTTTGTTCGTTTCAAAATTGTTATTATTTTCAATATTTAAGGTTTTATCGTTTTTTATTCGTTTTGTTTTTATTTGGTTTTCAGGTCAGTTTAATACGGTTTTAGAAAACATTACCAAACTAAAACCAAATTGTACATGGTTTGGTTCGGATTAGTTTGGCCCCTAATGACTCCAACTCCTCCAGCAATTTAAATTTGCATTGTTGGATGATGTCATAGTCTAATGTAATGCTAGAAACTGAGAATATAAGCTCATGGGAATATATACTTCCTTGGGATTTTCTAACACAAGAACACACTTGCATATGCAGATGGTCTACTACAACTCAGGAGGACTACGCGTGAATCCCAATATTTATATGAATCGGGAAAGGTTTGCCTGAGTCTCTTAAACACATGGACAGGCTCTGAGAATGAGGTTTGGAACCCGAAATGTTCAACGGTACTACAAGTGCTCCTCTCCCTTCAAGCTCTTGTGCTCAATGAAAAGCCTTACTTCAATGAGGTCGGGTATGATACATATATCGGTAAAGCTGGCGGTGAGAAAAGCTCTGTCAGCTATAATGAGAACGCATATCTGGTCACCTGCAAGTCAATGCTATACTTGCTACGCAACCAACCCAAGGTGTGGAACTAATATAGGTAAAATTTACAAAAAATATACCAGCTTATTATTCGTGGGAACGTTTCGGTTAGACTCTTAAGTCTTAACAAATTGAAGTTAAGATGATTTATTTGACATGTCCTGAATTTGGGGTTATGTATATTCCTTTTTGCGTGCATAAATAGTGGGTACGAAGAATTAGTAAAATATTGACACACATTTAGACAACAAATTAGTGTATGAATATAACAAAAATATCTATGTGTAGTATATACTTGAGTAAAACTTCCAAAATCCGTGTATACTTGAGTATGAATATAACAAAAATATCTATTCGTTTTTTTTGTTCCAGTTCCTTGGAAGGGTTGAATCAGAACGTAATTGGGTATACCAAAGATCTGTTCATAGCAGTTAACTCAGCCTTTTTTATATTTATAACTCGTCACCAGAACATAAACCGGTTCTATCTTATTATGGATGAAGCGTTGAAACTAGTTTGGTCCTACTTAGGAGGAATCAGAACCGAACCGGAGTTGGACCAGTTTTGGTCATGAATCATTTTACGGGTTCCTTCTTTGGCAATAATCTCTCATTTTGAAACTGAGACTGGGTTCACCCCTAACGGTTAGGCACAACTCAAGCTTAGTTACTTTATTTATGTCGATTCCAATTAAATAGATGGACAGTGTCTTAAAAAAATGTTCAGTGTCTTAATTTGGGTACCTTATGCAGTTATGCTTATCCATAAAAGTCCTCCTCTGTTCAAGATTTTTAGGATTATTTTTTCGAGTTTGTCTTCATTATCTTTTTGTACAGCATTTTGAAGGTCTTGTGAAAGAACACTTCAGCAGGCGGGGTAAGCATATTCTGTTGGCTTGCAAAGCATATATGGATGACACTCCCATGCGTGCAGCGGGATCTGGGAACGTAAAATCTGATCAGGAACACTTCAAAGGAAGTTCTAAAGGATTCAAAGTCCTACTTGCCAAGATTTTCCCTCTGACTCGTGGAGGCATTTTCTGAGAAGGTAATCGTTCCAGCTGATGCTTAGACTTGAGGAGTGTGTGAGACGAAAGGATTAAAAAGGTGTTGTATGCACCTATCTCTGTGATAAGTAGAATGGATAAAGCCATAAAGGTTTGTTTGGATTTACCTTTTAAAAAAGTGTTGTATGCACTGAACCTATCTATGTAATTTATGATTTGCTTTAGAATGGACAAAAGTACAAAACCATAAAAAAAACCAGCACTGATGGAGCAAGTGCCAGTAACAACGAATACAGGTATACTCGTATATTTTTACATTTTAAATGTTAACACTTGCATAATTTTTATAGTTTTAAAAAAGAATTGTGTTAAGACTTTAATTTCACTGCAATTTTAAAAGATAATAATAGGTTGAGACTATTTAGGTGGAAGTCATTTTTAAAATTTGGGGTAGGTTGGGATCTAGGCTGCTCCCCATCTAGCTACGTCCCTGACCGCCACCCTAACCGCAGTTACCCCACCCCCAGTGACCAAGTTTATAGTGACCACCAGTCCAATAGACTTTGCCCCCTCTGATCAAAGACTTTGGCAATCACACCCTCTCCTTCACAAATCTCCAACCAACCCTGGCCATAGTCCCAACCCACCCCTGCTCCTATCCTCTGTCACTTCCCCGATCGCCGAACCATCACTTCCCCCCATCACTATTCCAATGAGATCATCTGAAGATAACCGTACCAGCAAGTTCCCCTCTTGTAAGCCTAGTCACCGTTCCACTGCTGAAACTCAAGCCACTGCTGGAGACACAAATCGCTGAACTAGTGCTGGACTCGGGCCGGGCGGCCCGGAACCGGCCGAGCCCCGGTTACTGTTTGGCCCGGCCCGGCCCGGGGCCCGGTGGGTCCGCCGGTTCGGTTCGGCCCGGCCCGGCTGCTGGGCGGTTCGGGCCCGGGCCCAGGTTTTGGTGAACCGGCCCGGCCGGTTCGGGCCCGGTCCGGGCCGGATTTTAATTTTTTTTTTTTTTGAATTTTTTTTAAGTTTTAGGTTGGATTAGGTATTTTGGGCCATTTGAGGTGGTTTGGGATGGTTTGGGGTTGAGGGGGAGGGGTAGGGGATTAAATAGGAGAACAAAAAAAAAATTAATTGGGCCGGTTCGGCCCGGCCCAGCCCGGTTTGGCCCGGAACCGGGACCGGAACCGGCCACCGGCGGTTCGGGCTCGGGCCTCCCTTTCCTGGCCCGAGGCCCGGCCGGGCCCAGGCCCGAACCGGGCCCGAACCGGCCCGAGTCCAGCACTACGCTGAACAAGCACAGACAAAGACAATACATAGGGGATGTGATATCTCGATGGGAAGGTCTTTAATATTCCTTCTGTAATCCTTCAATTTAACTATTATGATTGTGTTAACCAGAATTTCAGTACTAACTGCTATGAAACAGTAATGTCATCTGAACGGTAAAACAATAAATTCTAATTCTCGTTACGGCTTTACAAAACTAAAGAATATATAACAATCTCTGCCTCGAAATGTAAAATACGGTTTGGTTTGCTATAGGATTTGAAAAGATAAAGAAATTTGCTCACTCTAAAATTGTAAGCTTCTAAATGGTTACAATCCTGGATTAAATAACACAAATAAAATGGTTCTTAATTTTGAATTGTGTCCTCACGTGTGTTATGTGTGCATTAATTTTAATTGGTCAATGTCAATTGATTAATTACTATTTTAATAATATACTGGACATGAAAAAAGTTAAGATGCTTTATTCAATGGTCAATCTTGGAACATTCAATGGTCAGCTGGACCTTCAAATATTGGAAATCCAAATATCTTTATTCAAAGTTTGTACAAAACGAAACAAAACAAGAACTTAAAAAGTGCACAATTCAAAGAATAATTAATGGGGAGAATAAAAAGACTTCCATAGGTTAAAGCACCCCCACCCCTGACTAGAAGCTAAGAATGGTTTTTAAAAGTATTTTCCTTTCTCGTAAGAAACCAGTCCATGAGCTCCACCTTCCTGAACTCCACCCTCAGACTGTGCTGCTCCAGTTCGAACCTACATCCATAAAATCAAGCAGCAATAAATCTCGACTGAGTTACAGAGACTCAGATTGTATAAAACTTGGGTAGTAAAAAGCAACACAATTTTGAAATCAGAAATAGCTAGCGAACAGAAGATACACAAACCAACCTCGAGTCTCAAAGTGCCCGATCTCAAATGCTGATGGGCTGAATGGATGGAAGAAACACCAAGATCTTGGAACCCTTGTTTTAGGGCTTGCATAGTGTATGGTATGAACTTCAAAACAGAACCTTTGTCTTTCACTGTTCCAGCAACCCCCTGAGCAATCTTTAACTTAGTCGTATCACCCAAGTATCTTGCATCACTTCCTTTAGTCATTGCATCTAATGATCCCATTCCTCGATATCTTTTAACTCGTACACCATCCTACATGTACCCAAGATGTTACTTAACATGGGAGCATGCCTGACACAACATTAGTTTACACCATAGTTGATGAATTCCATCAAACATTGCTAAGACTGGACTGCACTTATATGACACTGCTATAAGATAATAATTAACATTCTTAAACAACTGAAATAAACTGCAGGAGAGCATGCAGTTATAATGGACATATAAACACTCGTAGTTTATCCAAGAATGCATCCTCCAAAGACCAAAGTGGATGCAATAGGAAAACATAAGATGAAAAGCATCATGACTGATTATGTAAGATAATACTCCGTATAAAACATCGGCGAGCAACAAAAAGAGAAATCATGGGAATGAACTGAATGATATGCTACTGATGAACCTTGTTATATTCGTATGTGCCAGGAGCTTCACTGCTTCCAGCTAAAAAGCTTCCCATCATAACAGTAGATGCCCCTAGGGATAAGGCTTTAACAAAGTGGCCAGAATTCTTTATTCCTCCATCCGCAATGACCGGAATACCTTCCTCCTGAGCAACCGATGACACCTTATATACAGCTGTAGCCTGAAAACAATTGGTAGAAATTGCTAATATATCATTAGAAATTAAAGATCCGCATAAAAATGGCAAATGATACACTACTCCAATCCATCAAAGGATTCATGTTTCAAAAGCTATTTTTGTCGGAAAAAAGCACAGTAATGTTTGATAAGATAAAGATAACTTTTGACACAGTTTGCCAAAACATAGTAGCAAACAAGTTCATTGCAGCCTACGTGGCTACAACCCAACGACATTGTCCCATATTACAGTTGGCATGCCCCATTTTTATTGTTTCAATGAATAGCATTACCAACACGAATAGAGTAAAATAATGATTTTTTTATTAAAACTTGTGCCAAATGTATATGAAACAATATCTTTGAGGCGGGAGAGTGTGTATCATCGTATCATACATAATGAACTAACTGAATTATCAAAAAAGTTTTAAAATTGCACGTAGTATTAATGATTTATAATAGTCGTGGCTTGCAAAAAAAAATAGTCATTGAACAAACAGGGCTCTTTTTAAGAAATAGAGAGTAATTCTTCGCCCAGTAGGCATAACCACATTATACCACAAATGTTGGGATTAGCCTGATAAGGATAAACCATTGATTTTCAATGCTTCTTACTCCGAATGTAGATGAAGTACTTGTACCATTGCATCAGATGTGTAATTTGATAATATTATTAATAATAATTATAATAATAAAAATAACAATAATAATAGTAAAAGTAGTAGTAGTAATTATAATAATAGTCATAATAATATTAATAATAAAACTTCACTCACTGAAAAAACAAAGTTGTGGGAAATGATACAAAACAAATCCAAATGTTACCTGACCACGTCCAACAGCACAAACTTCTTGTGTCGTACAAATGGAGCCAGATCCCATCCCAACTCTTAACCCATCAACACCCGCCCGAATCAAACCCCTAGCTTGATAAGTTGTTACCACATTTCCCCCAATGACATCCAATTCCGGGTATGTACGCTTTACAAACTTAACCATTTCCATTTGGTAATGGGAAAATCCTTGTGAGCTATCAATAACCACAGTGTTTATCCCAGCTTTAACCAAATGCTCGAGCCTCTCTTTATCTGATTCCCTTGTCCCTATAGCTGCTCCAACCAAGAACTTTCCATCTGGGCCCAATGATGGCAATCCGAGTTTAGGGAATCCCTTTATACGCTCCACATCACCACTGGTTACCAAATTAACAACTTCTGCATCACTTTCATTCACCAATGGCACATACTCAAGCTTTTCAGCTTCTAGATAACCAGCTACATCTTCATATTTGTAGCTTGACGGCAATGACACTGCAGATTTTTTCATGTAATCTGAAACCCTTACTTCCTTGTTACTCAAAGACTCCCATGATGACCTTGACACGATGCCCAATAGTTTGGACCGCTGAGTCCCTGACTCTGTAACGAATACACAGGGACCTGAACCGAACTCCTCAGCAGATTGGATGGAATCACCAGGGGAGATGAATATCAAGTCGGCAGCGAAAGGGATTTTGTGAGACTTTACTGATTGAACTATGGAGGCTTGTTTGGAAGGGGTGTTGTTAGAGTGGACGATGCCTATTCCGCCGAGAGCTGCCATGGCAGCAGACATTGAGGACTCGGTAACCGTATCCATGGGAGAGGCGACACAAGGCAAGGACAGTGAAATATTGCGGCTAAAGTTAGTAGATAGATCCACAGCGTCAGTTGCGAAGTCAATATAACCAGGAAGGAATATGACATCATCATATGTGTAGGAATAACCTTGGCTAAACAAAGTAGAGGCAGGAAATCCATCATCATAATGAGGTATTCCCTCCATGTCAGTTGCCCTGAAGATGCTTGTGAGAAAAAAATGGTGTAAGATCAACGACATTAGTTATATTAAAATCCTAATATAGGCCATTGCATCTAATGACATTTAAAATTCAAAACAAAATGAAAATTTTGAAAAAGAAAATATCACAATCACACATTATCCTTACTCCTGTATTTTTTAATTGCAACTATAAATTCTTTACATCGATTAAGAAAAAAATGGTAATGAGTAGCGTAGAGAAATTGTAAGAAGTAAGAGAGATTAAATAAAAAAAGTATGAAATAATATAAAAAGTCTATAAAGCAAGAAAGAGCAGTGTTATCAAAAGCTGAGAGCGGGAGACCTAGTGGGTAGTGTTGTGGCAAATAGCAGAGGCATCGAATTTAATGACATAAATTACATATAAGTAGTTACATTTAAATATCACACTAGATATTAGCATTAAAGGTTTAAAGTAATAGAATAAATTCCAGTACCAAAACTAGTAAACCACAGAAATTCAAAGTTG